CTCAGAGATACTTTACTACTGAGCTATATCCCAGCCCTTTTTTATTTATTTATTTTTTTAGATAATTTTTTAGTTGTAGATGGACATAATACTTTATTTATTTATTTTTATAGATACATTTCTTTATATTAACCTGAACGTAGACAAACTGTATGGAGCAGGGACAAAATAATGTCACAGGAGTTTCCTCATCAGTTCCCCTTTGCTTTAGTTCTTACCTCAGGTCAATGCCATGACAATAGGATATTCATTTGGTAGGTCAGGATCCAGAAATTTTGAACTTGGGGACTTTATACTTCTTGTACAAAACCCCTAGCCCCTGAGAGGTACATAGACCTTTACTCTCTAATATATACAAATTCTCCTTGGGAACAGAAGGGGCAAGAAGATCCTAGGTTCTTAATTTTTGAAATATAAATACCCAGGGGAGATCAGACAAGTCTCGGAATTTATAACCCCTAGAATATATGCATAGTCTGGGGTTTCAACCCTTCTGAAATGTAAATAAATATTGTACTACCAGAGAACCAGATCTCTGTCAGTTCCATCTTATGTTTCAAGGCTTGTTTTTTGAAGGACAATTTCTTTGCTCAGAAATACCTGATCATACAGAAACATAAAAATATGTTCATTGTTAAATCTTTGTTTTCTTTTACACCTGTCCTCCTTTTAGTAGCAAAGTTTTTATTCGAAGGCATTGTACAATTACAATGTAAATTTAAGCGGATGTTTTGGTGCAACATGTAGAAAGGTTAAGGCAACCCCAACATGCTGCAGGTTTGTCACACATCTTTGGTAGATTTCACCTCCTTATTCAGGTAATGCATCTCATTCAAGTCACACGTCATTTTTTTCGGTGACTAGTTTGCAAGGGTCTAGTAATAATTGATCCATTTTTTTTTTCTAAGTGTAATACACACTCCATTGTGTTCAGCCTCTTCTCCTAGTAATTGTGATTTGGTTTCTTGATATTCTGCAGGAGTGTGATGGTGAGTCTAGGTTGTCAGGTTGACTGGATTGAGAGGAAACACCTTTACCCCCATTTCTTCTCCTTCCCGCTCTGGCTGCCATTAGGTGAGCAACTTCGTTCCGCCATATTCTTTTGCCATGATGTTTTGACTTCACCACAGGTTTATAGTAGTGGAGCCTGCTAATCATGGAGGGAAGCTGTTAAAACAGCCAATAAAAATCTTTCTTCCTGAAGGTGATTTTCTCAAAGAGTTTAGACAACTTCATCATTTTCTCAGCATACCTCTTCTCATAGATTGGTGAAGGAAATGTTTGGCAAAGTTCTTCAAAGCTACATCTTTGCACTGTCAAAGCAGTAAGGTGGACAGAGCTCTAGGTTGATATGGCACTTGATGGCAGCCTTTGTATTTGGTGCATGTGGGATGTAGATGCAGTTCTTGTGGCAGGCACCTGAGAGGTGAGGCACTGAAACTGTACACACTGGATTCTGACCAAAAACTATTAAAGCAGAAAACCAAAGCAAGACACTGCAAAAAATGTTTAACTCCTGTGTTAATGTGACTTTTTTCACCATGGAAATGTGAAATGTTAAGGAAGCCTGTTTGAACTCCTTTAGTCACTTTTATTTTTTTTAAGCAAAATACGTATTGAATAACTGCTATGTACCGGATACATTAAAAGGTATTGAGTATATATTGTGGTGGGTAAGATATAGCCAGCCATCTTTCAAGAAGCTTAGAGGCTATAAATGTGCTATAGTGAAACTGAGAGTGCCATTATGATATCAAAATTTAAGTGCCTTGAAATATTTGACATATAATAGGCCGCTCTTAAAGGTGAGGAGTCAGCTAGATGCTTGTTCATGTCTATCCTTGGTAATATTTTTTATGATAATCTGGTAAATGTAAATAAAGTGCTTTCCTGAGTTTTGTGAGCCATTCTAGCAAATTATCAAATATGAGGAGGGGATTGTGGGACTTCCTAATTTCTTACATAGGCAATTGGTCAAAAGTACATGAGGCCCGGACTTGGAAAGAATGTCTCAGGTGGGGGCAGTCTGTGGACTGAGCCCTTAAATGGGGTCTTGAATTAACTTTAGGCAGTTAAGTGTCAGAACTAAATTGAATCACTGGACACTCGGTGGTATCTGGAGAATTAAAGAATCATCTGCTGATATAAAAAGAACACACACATTTAGTGTTAGTGTCAGAAGTGTTGTTTTAGGGGATGACTCTGTATTATGGATATTGGCCTTTGATTATTATACATGTTGTTGATACTTTTCTCTATTGCCAATCTTTTGAATTTGCTTATGATTTCTTTTGTTTATTTTTTTTAATAGAAATTTAAAATTTGGGGGCTGGGGATGTGGCGCACTCGCCTGGCATGCACAGAGCGCTGGGTTCGATCCTCAGCACCACATAAAAATAAAATAATAAAGATGTTGTGTCCACTGAAAACTAAAAAATAAATATTAAAAAAATGAGAAATTTAAAACTTTTTTAAGGAGGTTAAATAGGAACCTTTCTTGTCTTGGCTTAAGCTGCCTCATCCCAATAGAATTTGACATTCTACCCTCTTTTCCTCTAGATGTTTTATAGTTTTTTTAATGTTAATTGTTTCAGAATTTTAAAATCTTTTTAAAAATTCATTTCTTTGATTTAATTGAAAAAAATCTCAGCAATTTTTTTAAGCTATTTGAATTCTGCTCTCATATTGATAATTTCCCCCTTTAGGTTTCTTTTTCTGATTTCTAGTGCTTAATTCATTTTTTTTCCAACTTTGTGGTTTTATTATTTAAAAATATAAGTTATAAATATTTCTGAGTGAAATTTGTCTCACTGCATATCACATATATTTTGGTAAGGTAGTGTTTAGTGTTTTTATTTTATTCACTTAAAAACAATGTGTAATTTTCAATTTTGATATTTCCTTTAACCCATTACAGTATGACAGTGTGTCTTTTGCCTCTGCATTAACTCATTTGATTTTTTTTTTTTTTTTTTTTTTTTTTGGTACTGTTTTTGAACTTGGGATTCACCTACCTCAGCCTTCTGAGTGGTTGGGATTTCCAGATGAGCATTCTGAATATCCTATTGATATTTCCCCTTTGTTTTTTTAAAGCTGCCTGCTTTTCAAAATCTACTGACTTATTTTTAAAATTTTTTAAACTTTATTTTATTTATGTGGTGCTAGGATTGAACTCAGTGCCTCACAGGTGCTGGGCAAGCACTCTACCACAACCCTTCCCTCCACTGTGGCTAATTCTTATTAGATTTATTTTGTTTCTGCTTCTGCTTCTGAAGTTTTCTAGTACAGACAGACCAATGTTACTTTTCATTTATATATTCTCCACATATTTTATTTATTTGTTTGTTTATTTTTGACACGTTTCCGTTGTCAGGTATTCTTTATTCAGAAGTACAATTAACTTGCTGTAACTAGGGATTGGTCCTGTGAATGAAAGTTTATGGGATAGGGCATTGTTTTGGACAAGCCTTCAGAACCAGGCCACCACAGACCATGCATGCCAAACCACTGTGGAGACACTTGTGCCTTATGCCACATATTCCACTTGAACTTTGAAATGGGTCAGTTTTCCAGAAAGCAGAGATTTCAGTTAACCTGAACCTGCTTGCTAAGGAAGTCCCCGCTGTTGTAACCCTGTAAGAAAAGTAACTTTGAAACAAAGAATCTGTTTGTTGTACTCATTTCTTCTGTTTTCAGCCCTTTTCTCACTGTAATACAAGCTTTCTCTGTTTCAGCTCACTGAACACTTGTTTCATAGAATAAGTGTTATTGGAGTTTAATGGCGAAGGTTCCTCTAGGGGTCCCAATGGACTAGTTTCTGTCACCCATCTCAAGATGCCAATCAAAGAGAAGGAGTAGTAGTGAAGGCAGGAAAGGAACTTTAAAAAGTTTAGTTATACCATGAGGACAAGGGATATAAGTGTTAGCCCTATCTTCAGAGATACTCACCTGAGCTTTCAGATTATAAGGAACAGAGCGGGGCAAAAGTATGCATTGCCATGTATAATATGAATTGTAATACATTCTGCTGTCACATATAACAAATTAGAATAAAAAATTAAAAGTTTGCATTGTCAAGTATTCTTGGTCATACTGTGGTCCTTTTGATCATTATCTCTGGATAGGTCAGGAGGGGATTTGCCTTTGGCCAAAAGAAAGTTGCTGTTGCCTAGGGTGTGGTTTGACCTCATCATAAGATGTTTTTGTCATAGACCTTTTCCCTGGAATCCAAAGTGAGTGCAGGACAGAATGACTCAGAGCAAAGAATATAGGTGTGAAATGGAGGCAGACCTGCACATTTTTTAATCTTGTTTTTAGTTACCTATTGAAGATTTGCAGGTTTAAGTAAAGAGTTAGTACATTTAGCAAAAGTAACTTCTAAGTCCTTGTTAGATAAGGTTTTGCCCAATTCCAGAATTGTTTAAAAAAAAAAAAGCGAAAAGCCAAGTAGGCCTTTTAGTTTGTTGGGATTGTCCTTCTCTAGGTCTCAGGCAGACTTAGATCTTATTCTTTTATGTGGCACAAATCTTCAGGTCCATGAAAAGAATCCTTGAGACTTTGTTGATACTTCATTTCCTGTCTTCTGGTTTCAGCTTTATGTCCAGCCTTTCAGACTGTAACTGTTACCTAGGCCATCCATTTTTGTTCTTTTCCTCTTCTCTATTTATGTTAGTTTCTACATTTATAGGTGACGCTCAAATACTGTTGATTGAAGTCCCCGTTCAGACGTGAAAAGCAGAAGCTAAGTGTGCTTTACATTTGGCTTGGCTGGAGCAAGGGAGAACTACAAGCAGAAACGCAACTTCTCACTAAGCCAAAGAAGAGAAAAGGTTATAGAAGATTTTGGGAAGAGTGGAATTTACGTTAAATTTAAATGAAGCACTTTATTGACCTAGAGCAAAGAAAGAAAATTTCTTGAGAGTTTATCTTCAGTGACTGCTAAAAGTGGAAATTGTGTGTGTGTGTGTGTGTGTGTGTGTTATCATGTTCTTCATTCAAGAGTAGACTTTATAGCCACCTCTGTATATGTGAATTGTGTCTCAAGGCAAAAATGGAATTTTTTGTTCTCAGTTCCTCTTTTGCCACTCTTTTTTAGCTAGGTTAAAGGGAAGGCCAGTAAAACATCTACACTGCTGACATGTTCTTAACAGTTGAGATAATTGTTTTGGCAATCAGCAAGGTTGGCTTTTTCCTCCTCCCTCTCTGGTCTCAGAATCATCTGCTACACTGTCAGGTAAGATAGCATCCATGGGGTACTATTTAAGACTCTCGATACAAATAAACACTGTGATGCAGATATAACGAGAGAGAGAAAAAAGGACCAAAAACCTCTCCAAAGCCTTTGTTATCCTAGTTTATCAAATGGTAGCAAATTCTATTTTTCAGCATCATTTTTTTCTCATTGGTACTTTATTTTGATTTTTTTTTTTTTTCCTGTTCATGCATTATTCTCCTGACCTTGGTGAAAAGCTTTTGGACAGTTATTTAAAATTCTCTGGTAGGGAAATTATAGCTCTGTTTCATCAAGGTCAGTTTCTGGAGATGTGTTTTATTTTTTTGTTTTGAATATATCTCCCTATTTCTTCATTTTGCTTAACACTGTGCATCAGACTAAACCACCTTTCCTAGTCTTCACAGACTGCCCTTGCACAGACACGTTAGGAGGCTCTGGCACCCCTGGTAAGTGCACAATCACCTACATGGGAACTGGTATGAAAACTTGAGACAGCTCCATGTTATAACCCTACCCTGTTAGGAGTAAACTTTTTTTTTTTTTTTTTTTAGAGAGAGAGAATATTTTCAATATTTATTTTTTAGTTTTCGGCAGTCACAACATCTTTGTTTGTTTGTGGTGCTGAGGATCGAACCCGGGCCACACGCATGCCAGGCGAGCGCGCTACCGCTTGAGCCACATCCCCAGTCCTAGGAGTAAACTTTGAGCGTCACCTATAAATGTAGAAACTAACATAAATAGAGAAGAGGAAAAGAACAAAAATGGATGGTCTAGGTAATAGTTACAGTCTGAAAGGCTGGAGGACAAGGCAGAAACCAGAAGACAGCCTGATCAGCCTCACTGATTGGGCAAAACCGTATATAACTGATCAGCCTGACCAAAGATTGTGGGGGCCCCACAAATCTTTGTGCTAGTCTAGTCTGTGTGTTTGTCCTTAGTAGTCTCTAGATGTTTGGAGTATTCTGGATTCCTCCAGCATTCTAAGACAAGCAAGACAGTTTTCTTAGCCATTACTTAGATAAGTTATGTCTTTGATCTTTACAACTGTTTTCTTCCCAGAGAGAAGCTAGGAGCTGTGATTTTTTTTTTTTTTTTTTTTTCATCAGTTCTCTTCTGCTGAGCCAGGGGAGAAAGGACTACAGTGACACCATCCACTTGAACTTCTATCTCTGTTCTCACTGATCCCTCCTGGGTTAGCTCTCAGCACTCCCAAGATAGGGTAGACAGCAGTCAGTCTTCTGAAAGGATCCCAGAAAAATTTGGATCATTGGGTGTGTGCAGTGCTTGTGTTCTTGCTCCCCAGGGAGAAGCTGGGAGCTAGAAGGTTTCCTCCTAACAGGGTAGGGGTTATGACATGGAGTTGTCTGAAGTTTTCATACCAGCTCCCATGTGGGTGACTGTGCACTCAGAAGGGGTGCCAGAGCTGGGTTTTTCACAAAGGGCATCTATCTGTCTTGGTGTGTTTGTGGGAAGAAAGGAGGGTCTAAGGCTTTCTATTTTGCCAACTTGCTGATGTTACTCCTAATCTAACTTTGAAAGGAAAAACACTTACATAAGGCCTTATATAAGTGTTACCCTACTTTTGCTCACTCTAGTCCCTGCTGAATATTATAAACATTTTTTTAAACCTTCTTCCACACATCTGTTGGCTTTGATTGTTAACTCAGTCCTAAATTGTGTCTTAATTTAGTTTCCATTGGCTTACCCAGCACTGTAGCAGTTACAAGTGGGTGTGTAGTCAATGGTTATTTTCTTAAGAGTGATCTTGATTTAGGCTTTTAGGGGAGGGAATAAAGAGGAATAGAAGGTAGATGATGAAATGAAAGTATGAAGTATTTGGTATTATATATAATGAGAGCAGATTTCAGAGAGTTTGGTTTCTTTGGCTTTTGCAAGAGAATTTTTCAGGGATGTTGTTTTGAAGCCAGAGTTTCATTTTGAGGCCTTGGCATACCAATCAAAAAAGGCTAGCCATTGTACTTTCAGTACTTTCTCTCCTTACTTTTCTCGAGCTTCTCTTAGAGATATTATCTTTGACATGTCCAAAATTTCCCATAATAGCTGAGGTAATTTTAGTAAGCATGATAATTTAGGATTATAGTAAGAACATGTAGAGGAGACGAGTTCTGCCAAGAGAAGTTTGCAGCTTTCACTTTGATTCAAAGAGACAGTTGCTATAGCAGATATCTATCCATACAACTTGGTGGCTTGGGTCCATGGTAATCAAACTGTATGATTACTAGTCTGTTAATCTTTAGCCCTTGAGCATAGAAATAAAGGACAGATTGTGTCTTCAGGTAGGCATGAGATATTTCTTTTTCACTATCTACTAGACCTCTGTACTAAAGGTCTGTAAGTAATTAAAACTTGTGTAGCAACTCCACTACTCTTCTCACACCTTCTATATTCTCTACCTTAGTAAACTATGGTTGGTTTCACAAAGTCATCTTTGACCCTTATTTCTTACACCTTTGTCCTGTGTGTCACTTAACGGTCTATGGTTTAGTGCATATAGTTACCACATCACTCAGATTTTCTTCCAGTGGTTTTCTTACCGATTTTATTGCTAGTTGGTTTCTATTTTTCTATACTATGCATGAGTTTCTATAAAACTACTGGATCATGTTACTCTCTTGTTTTAAATTTCCGGTGCCTTCCAAACATAAGCATGCCTGGTTTTTAGGCGCCTTTGTTTTCATACATCAGCTCTCTCTTTGGACTAAAACCCCATTGCTTTTGTACTCCAATACCACTATAGTAACTTCTTTCTAAGGCTTATTTCATCTCTGTAAAAGCTTTCCTTATTTCCTCAAATTCCCTGATCCTTCTCTATAATTCCACAATGTTTTACTCACTCCTTCTTAGACTTAATCTCATCATACTATGGTTTAACCATTTATATATATTTCCTTTAAGACTCTGATTTTGAGGTAAGGACCTTAGGAAACTAATGCTTGGCTAATAAATAATAGATACCTACTAAATATTTGTACAACTGGAGACCCTTTGTTTTTCTGTGCCCCAGAAGAGTTGACACTTCCCCAAGTGTTTACTTGAGTCCATCACCCTATATAAAAATAGGTGAGAAATGGGTCTTATATTATTTTATCAATTTATACTGGGACTGAAGGCAGGATTAATGAATGAGGGTAATGAAGAGACCTTGAAATGCTGTCAAATGGGAAGTAGTTGGAGGAACTACGATAGTTAGCCAAAAACAAAGATCGGGTCTCTGAAAATTTAAACAGTTTTCATGTAGAAAAATCATCAGATGTTAATCAGTTTCTCTTTAGAGGGGAGCTATAGGATGAAGAGTTAGCAATTTTAAGCTCAGCATTAGAACTGACTTCCTAGGGTAGAGCTATGAAAGTGGAAGCAGAATGACCTGTGGTTTAAAATACTATACTATTGTAAGCAAAGTTGGACTATGTGGCTATACTGGAGTGTCTGAAGTTTTCTTGACTTAGTCTTAAGTTCCATGACCATGAATTTCATAAAAATATTGTTTTGAGCTAAGATCATCTTCTATGTATTCAATGATGGTTCTGCACTTTTGATAATGTTTAGTACTTTCTGTATGCCAGCATTCGGACATCAGTGGTAGTCTCTTGCTGTAAATAATTTATGTTTATAAATGGACATATTCTTAAACCTCTCCTCTTTTTAATTTTGAGGAACCAATGTATAATTTGTTTTTATTATTTTAAGATTAACAATTGCTAAAAATTAGTTTTGAGGCTTACTTCCTGTCTTCATCCATTTGACGTACTATAACAAAATACTTTAGACTGGATAACTTATAAGCGACATAAATTTACAACTCACAGTTCTGGAAACTGGAAAGTTCAAGATTAAGGCACCAGGGCTGGGGATGTGGCTCAAGCGGTAGCGCGCTCCCCTGGCATGCGTGCGGCCCAGGTTCAATCCTCAGCACCACATACAGCAAAGATGTTGTGTCCACCGAAAACTAAAAAATAAATATTAAAAATTCTCTTTATTTTTATTTTATTTTAATTTATTTTATTTTATTTTATTTTAAATATTAAAAACTCTCTTTAAAAAAAAAAAGATTAAGGCACCAGCAAATTCAGAGTCTGGTCATAGATGGCACCTTCTGTGTCCTCAGATAGTAGCATGGCAAAATGGTTCCCTAAGCCTCTTAAAAGGACACTGATTTCTCAAGACCTAATAACCTCCCAAAGTCCCCACCTCTTGATACTATTGCATTGGAGATTAGGTTTTCTAGGGAAGTTCAGACTTTTCCTCTGAAGATTTAATAATTGACTCTGCTGAAACAAACTGATAATAGGCAGATTAAAAGAAGAAAAATCATACAAATTTCCTATGAATTATGAAAGGCCAGTTGGTTGAGGCTTAACTACTGTTTTCATAGATAGGGGAGAGAGAAGTTGGAGGCTATAGGTAATTTAATTTTAGAGGGTTAATACATAATTTTTAGGGGAGTAGGGATGAACTTCAACAGACAGTGGTCTGGGACATAGTTCCTCTGGGCTGAGGTGTGGTGTTTGATTTTTCAATGGACCTTTATTTTATTTATTTACATGTGGTACTGAGAATTGAACCCAGTGCCTCACGCATGCTAGGCAAGTGCTTTCCCACTGAGCCACCACCCCAGCCCCAGGTGTTTGATTTTTCAGCTTCTTTCTTTCACATGTATTTAGTCTTCCTTGGATGATGAAATTTCAGTAAGAATATTTGGCCAGACATGGTGGACATTTGTAATCCCAGGAGGCTGAGGCAAGAGGATTGCAAGTTTCAGAGCAGTCTGGGCAATTTAATGAGACCCTGTCCCAAAATAAAATGAAAAGGGGCAACAGATGTAACTTGATGATAGAGCACTTACTTACCTAGAATGTGTGAAGTTCTCTGAATTCAATCACAAAAGAAAAAAGGATATTTGAAGGCATGTATGTTCGTCTTTGGCAGAACCTGTGGTAAACTAGGCAAAGGAACCTCACAGAAAACTCTTCCCTGTGTTTGCTACTTGCCAGGTGCTCTCACTTTTGAAGTTTAGGGAGGCATATTTTATTTTTATTTATTTTTTAAAATACCTTTTTAGTCATAGATGGACATGACTTTAATTATTAATTTATTTTTTTTGTGCTGCTGAGGATTGAACCCAGTGCCTCACGCATGCTAGGCAAGTGCTGTACCACTCAGCCCCAGCCCCAGCCCCAGCCCAGGGAGGCATATTTTAGAGTTCGGTTTTCTGAACCCACCTATAGTTTCAAACTCAGTTTTGGGGATACACATACATTCTGACCATACATTTTTCTTTCCAAATACTAAAATCATTTTTGTCTTCTTTTTATTCCTAGCAATGTCTCAGGCTGTGCAGACAAATGGAACTCAACCATTAAGCAAAACATGGGAACTCAGTTTATATGAATTACAACGAACACCTCAGGTAATATAGACCAAGATAACCTAGGGGAAATATGAGGTATATATAAACTGGAATATAGTTTTAGAAATTGAAAACTTAAAACATAACAGTAATAGTAAATTTATATACAAGACAACCTGACATTAGGTTTGTTAGCTGACACTTCATGTATTGATTCAAGAAATAATTTGTCATGAACCAAGGCTATCATAATTGTGTGTAACAGGAAAAAAACAAATAGGTAATTTTTCTGAAAAGTTTGGCTGTGCAGGGAAGCAGAGAAATGGAGCAAAATTTCAGAGGGGAAAGTGGGATTGAGTAGTTTTCAATTTTGTTTTGTTTTCTAAGATAGAATGCCCCTTTCCCTGCTTCCTCTTGCACATTCTAGGACATATGTAGAATGTATCTTTCACATTTCATTATGTAGCAACTCTATTGAGATAGTAATGTCACAGGCTGATATAATGTAGAGGGAGAGATTACTGAAGCCTGAGAGCAAATAAAATAATCCAAAGAGGGATGTCTTTGAGAAGAAATGAAGGAATTTACTTTTGATAGGAAGAGGCATAGTTCTTCTTGAAAGGAGAGAAGATAATTTATAGGTTTGATAGAAAGTGAGGAAGCTTCTTTTAATGAAATATCATATAAAGTAATCTATTGCAGGTAGAAGAATGCCTGCAGATAGAAGAAAAGGTATTAAATAGTGTAGAGAAAGAAAAAACTAGTTTGAGCAGCGTTGGATGCCCATTTCAGGCTGGTGAAATTTTTAGCAATAGCATTCTGGTTCTCCTCTTTCTTTGCCCCCACATTGTTGTATGCTCCAGGTGGTACGTTTATCCAGGATTCAGTTTTGTAAGGTCTGTTCTAAAGAGGGAGATAATAATTGGTTTATCATAATAGCTGAGTGATAGTTTTCTAATCTATAAAATAAAGGTTATAATTCTTAAATCAAAAGTTTGTGTGTTAGGATTTTGAGTGTTCTAATACAAATATTTATGTATGAGGTGATAATGGTAGATACACTAAGTACCCTGATCTTATTATTATACACTATATACAAGTATTGGAATGTTATACTGTGTCCCGTAACTATGTATAATTACAATATGTTAATTAAAAATGTATTTTTAAATAACAATAACACAGGAAAAAAGTATGCTTGTGTAAGTAAAGTAAAATGCTTACAGTGCTTTGTGTAGAGAGGTTAAACGTAATAGTTACTTAATAATATATGGTAATTATTATTGTAAATTTAAATATATTCTACTTGAGCCCTTTATGGACATTATCTATAATTACTGACTTGGCTTGAAAGTGGTTGATCTCTGGCCATATTTAAGAAAGCACAAATAGGATGGAGAGCAGTGGAAACAGGAAGTGTCTGTAGCATGCTGGAAAACCCTTACTTGCAGCTTCTCTATTACTTTTCATTACCCACCATACAAGAACCTTCCTTAGTCCATCTGAGCTGATATTGGTGGTTGTAGAGTTAGGTAATCTTTTGTTCTTAGTGCCACTTGTAGGGAGGATTTACTAATCACTCTGTTGCAGTATATCCTGGAATTCTTCATTGGAACTCCAAATGCATTTTTGCAGACAGTTAGGGACAATTACATATGGTAATACATATACTTCAGATGTGTTGTGGTTTAAAATAGCTGTGGGTTAGTCTGAAAACCTGAACACTTTTTATAGAATTGCTCTTAGGATAATACTTTTTTGAGGTTAAAAAGTGATTTAGAAATGAAATCCTATTAAATTGATAAATCAATATGTACTTTTGTTGGAATCTTAAAATACTTTAATGGACATGAAACACAATTTATTAAAGTGGTAATTTTTGAAGATGGAAGAATTCTTATAGTTCGATTAGTCCTAACTTCCTTATTTTGCAGACAAGAAAAAACAGTATCATAATAATTTAGAAGCACAGAATTAATAACTAGAGCTACTAAGGTATATGATTTCAAATTCAAATATATGCATTTATTTATCTATTCAAATGTGCTTTTTAATCACACCAGGATAATTTTTTACTACTAAGTTTTTGTATACATTGTTGTCTTTAGCATTAAAATAAAAGTATTTATGAAGTGATGGTCAGGTTGAGGGGAATTAGATTATATTATAGCTGAAAGAAGATTGATTATGAGTTAACAGTGGTAGTAGTTGGGTGATGGATACATACATGTTAATTTTTACCATTTTCAGTACTTTTATATGGTCAGATTTGTCCATAATTTTTTTAAAAATTAGCATTCAATTTTAAAGTGATTCTTTTACAGGAGGCAATAACAGATGGCCTGGAGATTGTGGTTTCACCTAGAAGTCTACACAGTGAATTAATGTGCCCAATTTGTTTGGATATGTTGAAGAACACCATGACTACAAAGGAGTGTTTGCATCGTTTTTGTGCAGATTGTATTATCACAGCCCTTAGAAGTGGGTATGTTGAAATAAGTTATACTGTGTACTTAAATTGTACCGTGACAGGGCTCTCTGGAGTTGGAGAATTGTATTCCGACCAAAGTATTTGGTTAAAGCCTAGTTTTTAATTATTGGCAAATATTTGTTTTGAAATCATTGGTTTCATGTAATTTCAGAAGTCTCATAGGATAAGTATGTATTTGATAAAATTATAAAACATGAAACCATGGCTTTCCTATTTGTTAAATATATAAATAATATCCATATGAAAGTGTTATTCTAAGAAAAAAGTTGATAATCTGTAAATAAGTAGAAGGTAATTTTTCCTTGTATGGCAAGGATATTAGAAGAGGGAAATATAAATTAGAAAAGGACAGTTGGGTGTTGTGGTGCATACCTATAATCCCAGTGACTCAGGAGGCTGAAGCAAGAGGGTCCTATATTCATATCTCAGCAACTTGGTGAAACCCTGTCTCAAAATAAAAGGGCTGGGAATGTAGTTGAGCGGTAGAGTGCCCCTAGGCTCAATCCCCAGTACTGTGAGAAAAAAGAAGTGGGGGGGATGATTTTTATTTCTAAAATGATTATATGTAAATTATTATTAAAAATATTCAAATTTTTCTATTTGTAAGTGATGGTGTCTAAGATTTCCAAAATTTTGCTTACGTACTGGTTAGATTTTTCAGGAAAATTCAGGTTAATCATTTAAAATTCTGTGACTTAGTAAAGATAATAACTATAATAAAGAACTGGATATTTTTGTCTTTAGCCCAAGATACTAGCATTATTTGCATTTTTCTCTCCTCTTTTTATTTAGCAACAAAGAATGTCCTACTTGTCGGAAAAAGCTAGTTTCCAAAAGATCACTCAGGCCAGATCCAAACTTTGATGCACTCATCAGCAAAATTTATCCAAGTCGTGATGAGTATGAAGCTCATCAAGAGAGAGTATTAGCCAGGATCAACAAGCACAATAATCAACAGGCACTCAGTCATAGCATTGAGGAAGGACTGAAGATACAGGCCATGAACAGGTAAATGGGAAAGAGAGCCTGACCTGATAGCCATTTTTCTGAATATTAAATATTGAATTTACTTTTTGAAAAGTGTAAATAAAATATGGTAACAAATCATAGTGCTACATGAGTACCTTTTCATTATAATATATGCTTGTAGGCCTAATTAGGGTATTCCTTTTTCTTTCTTCCTTTCTTTTTTAATTAGACATTGATGGACCTTTATTTTATTCATTTATTTGTATGTGGTGCTGAGAATCGAACCCAGTGCTTCACACATGTTAGGCAAGTGCTCTACCACTGAGCCACAACCCCAGCCCAGGGTATTCCTTTTAAAACACTGGAATCTAGCTTGGAGCAGTGGTACATGCCTATAGTCCCAGATGCTGGGGAAACAGGGGCAGGAGAGGATCACAAATTCAAGGCCTGGGCAGTTTAGCAAAAAGCTGTTTCAGAATAAAAAATTAAAAGGGGTTGTGGATGTAGCTTGGTGGTAGAGCACTCCTGGGTCCTCAGCACCACACACACCAAAAACCTCTCAAAACCATGAAACAAATTTTACTGTCTTGGGGCTGTGGTTGTAGCTAGTGTAGAGTGCTGGCCTAGTATATGTGAGGTTCTATCCTCAGCACCACAAATAAAGAAAAAAAGAAAGAAAGTATTGTGCCCATTTACAGCTAAAAAATAAAATTTAAAAGTGTTTGAGTGTGGAGTTCAGTTGTGTTAAGTACATTTACACTGTTTTGCAACCAATCTCCAGAATCCTTTTTATCTTTTAAAACTCCAGTTGTACCAATTAAGCAGTAACTCCCCATTTCCCCTCCTCCCCCCTGCACCTGGTAGCTACCATTTTATTTTGTTTATATAAATTGATAACCTCATATAAGGGGATTCAGTATTTGTCTTTTTGTGACTGGTTTATTTCACTTTAGCACAGTATTTTCAACATGTTTCTCCACATGGTAGTATGGGATCAGAGTTCATTCCTTTTTAAGACTGAATAATATCCCACTGTATATCTTTTTGAATCATAATTTTGCCCTTGAATGCATTAATCTTTCTGTTTTAAAATTTTTGAGATGATCCATAGATTTTTATAAGCAGAATTTTACTTTATTAAATTATTTTTAAAATCAATAGGTTATCCTTGTTAATGGCAATAAACATACTAATCTCAGAAGTACATGTCATTCTTTCCTATCTTTTTCATCATCCCTCTCATTGTGCATACAGGTAGAAACAGGCAATATTGTAGAAAGAATGTGGTCTGTTATCACATTCTAGCTTTCTTCCTGCCATTTATTTAACTTTGTAACTCAGTTTCTTTGGCTTTTCTTAACTACAAATTGATGGAAATGTATTGCCTTGCCAGGTTGTTTTGAGGAGTAAAGGAGATTATGTACACAAAGTTCCTTGCCCAGTAATTGGCTTTAGAATTTGAGCTTGTTAATTGAGCTGCATCTGTATCCATCCCATTTTCCTCATTTGCATTACATTAGCAGACTTTGAGACAAGTCTCCCGGGGAGCTAGTGCTAAATATCCATCCTCCTCTATATTATATTTGCTTAACAGTGTTCTAATTTACACCTGAAAGAGGCATAAATAACTTCCCTTAGAGATTTTACTGTTTCAAATTTGAATCATACCTTTCTTTAGAATTATAGTCTTATAAAAATGATAAAATATAAACAAGACTTACCAGTGTAAAAGTGAGTTGACAAATTGGTTTAAATCACTAAAGTGTGTGGTGAGATTTTCTAGACCGTTCAGGGACGTGTGGAAGCAATGATATTATTCAACTAACCAAATTTACTTATCAAAGTTTTTTAGAATTCTAAACTTCAGTAGCAAACATGCTTCATATTTGATGGTTTAAAGGCCTAAATATAAATTTATGCATCCTTTATTTTCTTTTTCTTCCCCTTCTTTTTACTAGATTACAGCGAGGCAAGAAACAGCAGATTGAAAATGGCAGTGGAGCAGAAGATAATGGTGACAGTTCACATTGTAGTAATGCATCCACACATAGCAATCAGGAAGCAGGCCCTAGTAACAAACGGACCAAAACATCTGATGATTCTGGGCTTGAACTTGATAATAACAATGCAACAGTGGCAATTGATCCAGTAATGGATGGTGCTAGTGAAATTGAATTAGTATTCAGGCCTCATCCCACACTTATGGAAAAAGATGACAGTGCACAGACAAGGTAAATGTGTGGGCTAGTTTTAGCTATATGAGTTCAAAATGTTTAATTTGGAGTTAAAAGATGACTGTGACTTTTTTATGGGGGACCATAGTGTTGGGTTTGATTCTTAACACTATGGTCCCCCATAAAAAAGGTAGGGAGCAATTTTGCATAAGAAATAGAAGCAGTATTTGTCATCCATTGTTAAGGTTCAGCTTGTTTATACAGGTCCTGCATGGCTTTCTTTTCCTATGTACCTCCCATCCAAAGTTGTACATATGAAAAGAACGACCCTCCTAGGTAGAGGACAGGAAAGGACCATATCAGGTACCAAAAGGCTTTTAAAATTCAAGCTGCAAAGATGCATTTGCCTGTATTTCCAGCATCCTGCCTGTGTGACTGAGTGCAGATTAACAAAATAATAATTGAATGAATGAATGAATAGAATTACAATGTTTTAAAAAAAATCCCTAGAACTTCTATGCTCAGTTTTAAAAAACAGAAATTTTAAATCTTATACAATAAACAATTTGCTGATATTCTTACTATTCCTCTTGCTGCCATAGGCAGTAGATCTTAATCATTGGGGTTGAAGGGCATATTGTACTTTCTGTAGTACTTTGTGTATATTTTTTTATTTTTGTCACTTTTTACAGGCGGTAAGGATGGTAGAGCTTTCATATCCGACAGTGAGCGTGTTGTACCTTTCAATTAGAAAGTTTTAGGTTATAGAACAACAAATTTGTTACTTTGTCAATAATTGAAACATTAGCATTTTACTTTAGCTTTTCTAGAAATATAATACATAATTTACATTTTTCTCAGGGTATTCTACAAATTAAATTTTTAATTTTTAATTCTTCCAGATATATAAAGACTTCAGGTAATGCCACTGTTGATCACTTATCCAAGTATCTGGCTGTGAGATTAGCTTTAGAAGAACTTCGAAGCAAGGGAGAATCAAACCAGATGAACCTTGACACAGCCAGTGAGAAGCAGTATACCATTTATATAGCAACAGCAAGTGGCCAGTTCACTGTGAGTATTTAAAATAATGGACTATTTATAAAAGGAGCATCTTGACCAGCTCGAGTGGGGAGTGGTGGGGTGAGACCTAAGAAAACAATGTACAGCCCTAAGACCCCCAGAAAAGAAATTGCAACAGAATAGTTCACTTTTGATATTCCCTAAGATTATAAAATAAGGGCTAGGAATGTTGGTACATGCCTATATTCCCATGCCTATAAACTAGCTAAGGCTGAGACAGGAGGATCCCAAGTTCCAAGGCAGTCTCAGCAATTTAGCAAAGCTCTAAGCAACGTAGTGAGACAAAAATGACTGGGGATATGGCTCACTGGTGAAGTGCCCCTGGGTTCAATCCCCAGTACTAAAAATAAAAAAGATTCTGTAAGACTTCTGTTTTCGTTTTATCTCGCTATTATTGTGCTTCATGCAATTTTTATAATTTTTTTTCTTTTTCATTTTAGGTATTAAATGGCTCTTTTTCTTTGGAATTGGTCAGTGAGAAGTACTGGAAAGTGAATAAACCCATGGAACTTTATTACGCACCCACCAAGGAGCACAAATGAGCTTTTAAAAACCAATTCTGAGACTGAACTTTTTTATAGCCTGTTTCTTTAATATTAAAGATGTACCATCATTACTTTTATGGACAGATCTTGGATATGTTGTTCAATTTTTCTTTCTGAGCCAGACTCGTTTACACTTTTAGAATCATTTCCCCTTAATTTAAGATTTACTTTTTGGAAGGGACTATAGTTATTCAGTACTTTTGCTTTCCTTTGAAGAATATATCTAAGTTGTGTGCTTTCACAAAGTATGGTTCCATTGGGAGCACCTTTGACCTGGGAATTTTTCATAGTTCTGTATTCTTAAGTGAAGATTCAGTTGGCCGTCCCTTTCCGTCTCCCCTCAAAAGTTTTTTAGGCCTACAGATTGTTAATATGTATTCTGACTTTTTTTCCTTGTGTATATTTATAGTTTTCTATATAAACTGTAGTATCTTCATGAAGACTGAGGCTCAAACTTACTGTGCTTAAAAACAATTCTCATAGGATTATTATTTTCATGGTATTTTCTTCCATAATATCTCGTTTTTAAAAGAGGTTCTTTATGAACTTGGTGTCCATTGTCATGCAATGTTATTTTTTTTTTTTTTCCTTTTTTCCTCCCTATAAGTTTAGATGTTCTTGTCTTGGGGAAGAGAATCAAAACCTTAAGTTCTATGAGCACATGGGTCATTGACATATTTCACTGAAGAAAGAAAAATTAAATTGATAGTAATACGTAGTCCTCAATTGTTTATTTAAGCTTTTTGTATTAGTTCCTACTGTCACTTTAGTTCCTTTATTATGTGTTTGATGTTTTTTTACCCTATTAAAATATCAGAAATATGGAGATATTTTGCACTTTAGCCTTGATGAAAAGTACAAGATATGTTCAAAGCTTCCCTAATTCTTTTCTTATTGGTAGCCACATAAGTTTTGAGAACAATGTGGTACATGGAAAAAATAGGTTTGCTTCTGTTTGAAAAGTGTGCTTAGCATTTTAAGTTGCTATACCAGTGTATAAATTTGGTGCTCTGCTAATTATACTCTGTAGAAGCAGATTAATGGAGCTTAAGCCCTGCTTTGATAAATAGTGAAAGGTAATTCTGTAGAAGAATGTCAGCCACTACAACAGGGTGAAGTTATTCTACTCTTACTAGTTTTATATTACGGGACAGTGTTGACTAGGAGCCAGAAGGCTTTGTGCTAACAGGTCAGAAAAAATATTGACTTATATGTTATTTTCATTCCTGTCCTGATTGTAGGTATGTTTTAAATTTTATATTATCCACAGTATTTACAAAGACATGTTTTTCATTGAGAAATTAACCCCAAAGGGTTTTGAGAGGAGGGAGTAGACCTCCAATACCGATGTAACTAAAGTCTGTCTAGTCATTGTAAATATTTATCTGTCAATTTTGACAGATTGGGGCCAGCTTGATGTTTTAAATCTTGAGTATAAAAATTTAAAGGCTTATTCAATTTTTTACCATTTTATTGAATATATTTGAAATCTGTTTTTACAGTTTTTTTGGTAATTGTACCATGAAATTTGAAAACCACCAAAAATTAAGAGAACTTTTATAAATTCCTTTTCTGGTGTAATGTTAAGTTGTATAGATTATTAATGCATGTCCAGTGAATATAACCCTGGTTTTGTGATAAATCTGCTTAGATTTTATTGGTGACATGTTAGATTAGTGGTTGCATTAAATAACTAAATTCCCATTGTGGTTATTAATTGAAATTGTCTTTAAGCAGAAAGTTATTTGTGACTATAAGCTTTGTGCTTAGAGAATGTATGTGTTTTTATCTGTCAGTATGGGAGGACATAAACTGTTTGCATCATTAGTGAAGTCATTGGATGTGTAATCCTTTGCAAGATGTAATTATAGGTATTTCCATTGAGAGTGTGTGTATATATGTGTGTGTGTGTGTGTTGTGGCAGGGGAAGTAAAGATTGTTGGCCATCACTACTGGCCAGGTGTTCGTAAATACAAGTAATTTCTGTAACCACAGGCTCAAGTGACTCACCAAACTTGATAAAGGCCTTTGTATACATTATTTTTTTAAGTTTATTATGGTTATATATATATAGTCAAATTTACCATTTTAACTTTTTGGGGGGTGGGTGGGTGAGGGGAGACAGAATCTGGCTATTTGCTTAGGTTGGCCTCAAACTTCAGGACTCGAATGATCCTTCTGTCTCAGCTTTCTGAGTAGCTGGGACATGGAGGCTCATTCCACCATGCCCAGTTTATTGGGATAAGATACATTTACAGTGTGGTGTAATGTTTACCATTATCTATTTCCAAAACTTTTTCATCATTCCACAAAGAAAGTTTATACAGTAAATAATCTCCATAAACTCTTCCCTTGTTATGTGACTGGATAATAACATATGTAAATACCATATTTTGTTTACTCATGTATTAATAGACACTTTTTGGTATTATAACACTATAACAAACATTATTACTATGTAAGTATGAAATTGAATCCCTGCTTTCTATTTAAGATATATAGGTAGAAATGGAACTACTAGATCATACTGTAATTCTCTTTGATTTTTTTTGAGGTACTCCAAAGTTATTTTCCAGTGGCTGCAACATTTTACATTGCCATCAGCAGTGAATAAGAGTTGCAGTTTTATACATCTCTGCAACACTATTTTTTTAAAATAGCAATCCTAATTGTTATATTTAACCATCCAAATGGGTGTGTCCTCCAACTGTAGTTTTTACATTTCCTTAATGACTTTTGATGTTGAGCATGTTTTCATGTACTAGTTGACTATTTGTGTATCATCTGTAGAGAAATGTGTATTCACGTCCTCAGCTCCTTCCACCACCATCACTGCAGGGATCAAACCTAGGGCCTTGTATGTGCTAGGCAAGCATTCTTATCACTAAGCTTTATGCCCAGTGCTTTATTGTTAATATTACTTTTTGAGATGAGGGGGGGATGTCTCAATATGTTGTCTCATCTGACATTGAACTCCTGGGCTCAAGCAGTTCTGCCTCTGCCTCCCAAGGAGCTGAGACCACAGGTGTCCTGGCTCCTTTGCCCATTTAATTTAAAATGTTATTGGGTTGTACAAGTTCTTTATCTATTCTGGAAATTATTATATGACATGCAAATGTTTCCCCCATTCTGTGTGTGTGTGTGTGTGTGTGTGTGTTGCTCTTGATCAGTATCCTTAATGTACAGAAATGTTTAATTTTGATGAAATCCATTTCATCTATTTTTTTTTTCTTCTGTTAGCTGTGCTTTTGGTGTCATTGAAGAAATCATTGTGCTCTCCAGTATCATGAAGAGTTTCCTGTTTTTGTCTTAAGAGTTTCATAGTTTTAGCTTTTACACATAGGTCTTTGATCCATTTTGTTTTGGATATGGTGAAATTTCAGGGTCTAACTTTAATTATTTGCATGTGAACATCCAGTTTTCTTAGCCATATGCCGCAGTCTGGCTGGGCACAAATGCCGCAGTCTGGCTGGGCACACAATCACGAGCCACCACACAGCTTGTAGATTCAAACAGCAACTCTTTATTCCCGAACTCACACCAGCCGTCTACAATCACGTTCTGGGGAAATCCACGTTCTCTGCCCAAATCCACCCACTGGGCTTCTATCTCCCAAAAAATACTGTCTGAATCCCGTGAGAACTCAAGGGGAACTCAGGCAGCAGGATATGCCCTATTCCCAGCAGGAATAATCTTAAACCTGGAACCTAAACCGGGAACGCCCTAAACCCGGATCCGCCCTGGTCCTTGAGCAAGGTCACCTACATGCAATGTCACTGCAAAATGTCCTATTTCCACGAGTCCTTCCACTAAGCAACATGGGGTACGCTGGCAAGGAAATTGTCATACCTACTTGGCTAATGGCTCCCAGCAGCCATAGAATAGTTTATTCTCCAGAGTGGTTTTGGCATCCTTGTTCAAAATCAGTTGCCTGCATATGAGAGGGGTTTATTTGGGGACTTTGTATTCTAATGGTCTGTTTGTCGTTACACTAGTGCCACACTGTTTTGATTAAGTTTTACATTACCATTTTCAATCCTGTGAACCTCATGAGGAATAAATTTTACATTATCATTTTTTTAAAAAAGAGAATTTTTTAATATTTTAGTTTTTGGTGGACACAACATCTTTATTTTTATGTGGTGCTGAGGATCAAACCCAGCGCCCAACACATGCCAGGCGAGCGCGATACCACTTGAGCCACATGCCCAGCCCTACATTATCATTTTTAATCCTTTGAAACTGGAAGAAAACATTTTCCTGTGAACTTGAGAAAGCTTAGGCTTATGATTCATTCAAACATAAGATAGTTGAAATGACTGATGAGAAAAGGCATCTCTTAAATTTCCATGGCAGTCTATTTAGAAATACTTGCAAATATCTACACACACACACACACACACACACCCCTTTTGCATGCTAATCTTACAAGCATAATTAAAGGAATTTTAATTAGTGTTCAGTTGTAGCTAAAAACTTAACCTTTCTGTTACAGTGGAGCACCGAGGATTTCTTAAAAATCTACTGTTGTGTAAAAGCAACATGAACAACAAAAGTTGTCAAAATCAGCTTTTTCAGAACTCTAGAATTAACCAAAGGCTTCTAAGAATTGGAAGAACATATATGTAAGTTTTGTAGTATTTTTTTAAAGTTCCCTATGCTGCTTTCCCAAGCTTTAGAGTAACCTTGAAGATGCATTCTCCCACCTGATAGCTGTAAAAACCATCATTGTGCCATCCACTAGAGAGAGTGAAGATCCCCCAATGAGTTAAGTTTGGAGTCCCCCAAAAACAGTACTTTAACTCCCCCCAAGTCTCATGTCAATTGTCACTGTTTCTGTTGTTGTTCGTACCAGCGATTGAACTCAGGGGCACTCGACCACTGAGCCACATCCCTAGTCCTATTTTGTATTTTATTTAGAGACAGGGTCTCACTGAGTTGCTTAGCACCTCAATTTTGCTTAGGCTGGCTTTGAACTCATGATCCTCCTGCCTCAGCCTCCTGAGCTGCTGGGATTACAGGCGTGTGCTACCGCACCTGGTATCAGTTGTCACTATTTGATTTTACTTTTTGAAAAGCTTTACTTTCAGAGCTTGTCTTTGGTTGATCCGATTCAGCTCATTTAATGCAAAAAGCTCAGTTTCTAGGGGTTTTGTGGGGGAAAAAATACTTTATAACACATGAATTTTGACACCAAAATAAGGGAAAAAGATAAAGCACAATATGTCTAAACTAAATGGGGAGAAATAGTCACCAAATAGTAATATCAAGAGAAAAAATATGAAAAAATAAAATCGAAATATGGATTAAAAAATAAAAACTCACTAGAGGGTCTCAGCAGCATTTTTCACCTACCAGAAGAAATAACAAACTTGAAGACAACTCAATTGAAAATATCCTGTCTGCAAAAAAAAAAAAAAAAAAAAAAAAAAAATATATATATATATATATATATATACACACACACACACACGCACACAAATGAGTCTTAGCATTAGAGACTGTAGGACACTACCAAGTAATACTAATTTGTAGAATGTAGATTCCAAAAAGAAAAATGGGCAGGAAGTATGTTTGAAGAAATCATTGTCAGAAACATATGAGTTAGATGAAAAACAACTGCACAAACAGAAAGCTCCACAAACTGATAGAGCCACAAAGGAAAAAATCTTTGAAAGCAGTAAGAGAAAAGCAGTCATCACATAGAAGAGATAAGAAATATTAAAGGGAGTCTTTCATGCTTCATTTAAAACAAATAATCCAATCAATGAATGAGCCAAGGACCTGAACGGAGACTTCTCAAAGAGGATTTATAATCAATCAACAAATATACAAAAAAATGCTCATCATCTCTAGCAATCAGAGAAATGCAAATTAACACTACTGTAAGATACCATCTCACTCCAGTGATAATGGCAGCCATTATGAAGACAGACAAGTGCTGGCGAGGATGTGGGGGAAAAGGTACACTCATACACTGCTGGTGGGACTGCAAATTGGCACAGCCAATTTGGAAAGCAGTATGGATATTCCTTGGAAAACTGGGAATGGAACCACCATTTGACCCAGCTATTCCTCTTCTCGGACTATACCCAAAGGACCTAAAAACATATTACAGGGACACAGCCACATCAATGTTTATAGCAGCACGATTCAAAATAGCTAAACTGTGGAGCCAACCGAGATGTCCTTCAGTAGACGAATTGATAAAAAACTGGCATTATTCACAATGGAATATTACTCATCAATAAAAAAGAATAAGATCATGGCATTTGCAGGGGAATGGATGGCATTAGAGAAGATTATGCTAAGTGAAGTTAACCAATCCAAAAAAAGTGCTGAATGTCTGATATAATGGGTATGACTCAATGGGGTTGGGAGGGAGAGCAAGGGAGGAAGATTATCTCTAGATAGGGAATAGGGGTGGGAGGGAAAGGGAGGAAGAAGGGGAATAGCATGGATGATGAAAGACCCTCATCACTATACAAAATACATGTATGAAGATGTGAATTTGGTGTCAACATACTTTATAATCAGAGATATGATAAATTATGATATAATGGTGTATTAAGAATTGTAATGCAAAAATAAAAAGACATTGGATAGTAACATGAAGTATACAAGAAATAGCACTGGTGCTGGGTGCGGTGGTGCACGCCTGTAATCCCAGTGGCTCAGGAGGCTGAGGCAGGAGGATGGTGAGT